TGACCAGTTGAACCCAAGCTCTGCAGGAGCACCAAAGCCCGGAAGGGAAAAGCTCTTTGCCCGAAGCAAGACTGAAACCAAACTTGTGGTCTGACTGAAGCCGATCAATTTTTCCAATCTCTCATGTGCTTATCAATTTTTCTTCCACTTGTCCATTCCACATGGTCAAATGTTGCCTCAACTTGTTTGCTTGTTCCTGCTTGAACAGGTTTCGCTCCTGCACATCATTCCTGCCAGTCCTGCTCGTCAGCCCCTGGGGTTCACTGGCAAGTCCGTCAAAGAAGTCATTGGATGTACATTTTTTGCACGAATGGAGATGCCATGTGTGCATCGTGCACAGGTCATCTTGGGCTAAGGTATGAACCTCCAAAATCTCACAAAAAGCAAAATAAAAACAAAAGCACCGAGAGAGGAGGAGATTCAAAATTTGTACAGAAAGAGTGAAACTTCAGTGAAATTGAGCTATGACTCTTTGTTTTGGGCATTGAATTTTCGAAGTGAGCTCCGGAACATATCTTGCTAGCTTGTAGCTAGTTTGTTCTTGCACGAAAGGAGGGCAGCAGGCCTGTGAAAATTGGAATGCGACTATATATTTCGCGTCTATTGAATTAATAAGAACAGATTTTTTCTTTATACATTTCCGGAATGTTAAGGCTTTGTGTAATTAACCGAAATTAAATTCGATATTGGAAATCCTATGGATTTTGCGTTACTAATGCCCGAAGCAAATGACGAAATTTTTAAGAACAATTATCGGTATAAATTTAATTTTATAATATTAGGTTATTTGTATATAAAATATTTCGGTAATTTTAAAAATGTATTATTATCATTCTGAAGAATTTCTTTAGCTATTAATATATAATTATATAGATCTCTAAAAACAATATTTCTTTCTATTTTGTCGTTATTTATTTAAAATATGTCTTTTATTATTAATCATTTAATATATTAAATATCGATTAATTTCATATAAAAAAACTTATATATTTTGATGCACATATTTATCATCTTTTTAAACAATATTGATTTTATAAAATCTATTTATAATATATATAGATATTAATATTTTAAAAATATAAATCATGATATATAATATATCTATTTATATTATATAAAAAAAATTATATAAAATTCAAAATATATGTATCTAATTCTTAAAATATATATTTTAATTTATAGAAATAATATGATTAAATATTTTATACATTAATATTGTTAATATTTAAATATATTATAAATTATATATTAATAAATATTATTTATTCTAAAACAAAAACTAATTGAATAGATGAATTATTTCAAAAAATTAAAAAATATTATATTATAGAAAGAATCCATATGTTTAAATAACAAAATATGGTTTTCTTTATTTTTTATACAATATATTCTTTAAATTACGTTTAAAATTTGTTATTTATATTAAAGATATGTTTTATCGTTATCGTTTTTGCGCAATATTTTATCGATTTTTAAATATTTCTTTAATTATATATTTTTAATATTCATATTTATATTATGCATCTGTGATTAATAAATTTGTTTATGTTCGCTTATTAATTATTATCGATTTTTATGAATTGGGATAAAAAATGTTAACATATAAATTCTCAAAAAGAAAAATTGAATCAATATCTTCAATAAAGAATTTAATTATCTTATCAACAAACTCTAAACAATTACGATTAACGGCGAAATATCGATTTCATTACCGCTAAAATACCACCATAACATCCACATTTTTAAAAAAATAATTACAAATAAAACAAAACGAAAGAAAAATTACAATAAACATATTAATTACATATCATATAATTAAAACCGCCCATTCAAAACAAATACGACAAAAATCTATCAAATATAGTAACAATTATGAATAATATATTAATTTCCAATCATCCTAAATAAATAATATAAAACAATCCTAATTAAAGATTTAATATTAATCTATTTATCTTTTAGTTATAAAATATAAATCCGTTCGATATATAATATAGTCAAATTATATAAATAATATAGTATATTTTTTTCATTCACTTCCAGCCTGAGTGCGATCAGGCCCGTGTTGGGCAGCACAGCAACTAAGCTGCGGGTGTTTCAGGAGCATCTAGCCACAGTCACGAAGCATGCGAAAGCGAAAAGTGAAACAAGGCTCTGGCAGCCTATTCGGAAAAGGCCGTAGCCAGCAAGTCGGACAGGTCGACGGTCAGATTCTCTATGGGTCTCCGCCGCCATAGGTTCATATCTTCTTGCAGAACCAGCCAGAATAAATAGGCTGAGCGGCGGATTGGGTCAACGACCGGGCACCTGGTGGCCGTCTTGCCATCATCAGTCAGCCATGAGCTTCCCGAGCTGAGAAAAAGACATTGGTAGTGGCCGCTGTCAGAATCTTCTCCAAACTGACAAACAATGGCCACCACACGGTATTCGTTTATATATACAAAATAATCTGTATAATTTTGATGCACATATTTATCATCTATTTAAATAATATTGTTCTTTTAAAAACTTATTTATAATATATATAGATATTTATATTTAAAATATATAAAACATAATATATATTATATCTATTTATCTTATTTTATAAAATTCCAAATATATATATATTATTCTTAAAATATATATTTATATATTTATATAGATATTATGAAAAATATTTAAAAATTATATATTAATAAATATTAATTCTTAAAAAAAAAACTATTTGAATAGATAAAATATTTCTTAAATTACAATATATTACATGATTATTAAAAAATAATTTCTATATTTTTAAATAAAAAATATGTTTTTTTTTAAAATAAATATATTCTTTAAATTACGATTAAATTTTATTATTTATATTAAAGATATGATTTATCGTTATCGTTTTTGCACAATATTTTATCGATTTTTAATTATTTCTTTAATTATATATGTTTATTATTCATATTTATATTATGCATCTGTGCTTAATAAATTTGTTTATATTCGCTTATTAATTGTTATCGATTTTTTATTAATTGGGATAAAAAATGTTAACATATAAATTCTCAAAAAGAAAAATTAAATCAATATCTTCAATAAAGAATTTAATTATCTTATCAACAAACTCTAAACAATTACGATCAACGGCGAAATATCGATTTCATTACCGCTAAAATACCTCCATAACATCCGGATGTTTAAGACAATAAGTACAAATAAAACAAAACGAAACAAAAATTACAATAAACATATTAATTACATATCATATAATTAAAACCGCCCATTTAAAACAAATACGACAAAAATCTATCAAATATAATAGTAATTATGAATAATATATTAATTTCCAATCATCCTAAATAAATAATATAAACCTATCCTAATTAAAATAATACTAATTTATTTATCTTTTAATTATAAAAACAAAAATATAATTCCATTTGATATATATTATAATCAAATTATGTAAATAATATACTATATATTTTTTTTCATTCTCTTCCAGCCTGACTGCGATCAGGCCCGTGTTGGGCAACACAGCAACTAAGCTGCGGGTGTGTCAGGAGCATCTAGCCACAATCACGAAGCATGCGAAAGCGAAAAGTGCAATAAGGCTCTGGCAGCCTATTCGGAAAAGGCCGTAGCCAGCAAGTCGGACAGGTCGACGGTCAGATTCTCTATGGGTCTCCGCCACCATAGGTTCATATCTTCTTGCAGAACCAGTCAGAATAAATAGGCTGAGCGGTGGATTGGGTCAACGACCGGGCACCTGGTGGCCGTCTTGCCATCATCAGTCAGCCATGAGCTTCCCGAGCTGAGAAAAAGACATTGGTAGTGGCCGCTGTCAGAATCTTCTCCAAACTGACAAACAATGACCACCACACGGTATTCGTCTATATATACAAAATAATCTATATAATTTTGATACACATATTTATCATCTATTTAAATAATATTTTTTTTTGAAATAATATATATAGATATTTATATTTTAAATATATAAACATAATATATATTATATTTATTTATCTTATTTTAAAAAAGAAATATATAAAATTCCCAACATATATATATATATCATTCTTAAAATATATATTTATATATTTATATAAATATTATGATTAAATATTTTATATATTAATATTATTAATATTTTAAATATTATAAATTATATATTAATAAATATTAATTATTAATTATTA